TTAGATCTTCTAGTACTCACTAAGGTTTTGAAAACATTCTCTCAAGTTTCCAGTCATTTTTTAGAGGAATTATAAGAGTACTTCACGTAGATTCATATCTGGTCTTGCCATTTGTAAGTCAATCCATACACCAAACTCATGAAATCTTTTCCTCCATCTATGTAGAGGTAAATCATCAAAAGTGAACCATGGTCCAGAAGATGGTATGAAACTATGAGTATTTGGTCTAGCTGGATCTATGGATGATAGATCATCTTCAGGATCCTCTATAACTAATCTGAACACATCATTTCTTCTTTTAGACTGTTAAAGGATTGTGAGTGCATAGTAATCTTAAGAAGATCATTTACATATATTAGATTACTGGGTTAAAGGGAAAATTTGTTCTACAAGTTTTTTGTCAAATGAAACTGTTATCAATAAATTTTGATTGGTGTAATGTTACCATGAAAATGTTGTTCTATAATAACATTTGACTAATATTAACTATTATTATGAGGATTAGAGGACAATTTTGCCTAAAGAGTATTTGAATGAGTAATCAGTATATATCCTAAATTATATTTTTGATGGGTGCAATGTTTTTGGATTAGCAACATTCAAATCAAAAGAAAGATAAATCCCCGCAATTGAAGACATGTAACCTACAATTTGTGAATATAGAAAAATCTAGTGTTAATTATCATAAATAATTTTTGAAGTTTAAACATAAGGAAAACAAAATTCAAAGTGTTAATAAAAAGGGATAGTAAGCCTTGCATGTGTGTGTGTTTTACCAGCTAATCAAAAAACAAAGTGTATTGTTTTCTCTTTTTTTGCAAGAAAAAAATTTAGATGAGCTGGGTTTCAAAGGTTCATTAGAGACCAATGCATACTTCTAGGTTCAAAAGAGAACTTACAAATATACTTACAAATTGCTCATCAATAAGATTCTCACGTCTATAGTGAGATTTGAATCCATGGCCTTATGGGTTATAAGCAAAATTCCTTCCAACTGGACCAATATTTGTTAGTTAAAGTGTATTGTTTTCTAAATGGTCAAATGGAGTGGCAGATGGAAAATACTTTCAGATGGTAGAAACCAATGGTTGCAAGGCTGCTTACCTAAGCTCTCTTTATTTGGGGAAAGTATAATGTTCCGAGACATTCATTTATTATGTGGTTGATTATGAAGAAGTTGTTGCTTACAAAAGGCAGGTTGCTAGCCTTTAATTGGCAATTTAATTCCTCTGTTTGTGAGCTTTGTAATACTAAAAATGAATCGTTAAACCATTGTTTTTTTTAGTTTAATTGGTTTAGAAAATTATTATCTGATGCTATGGAATGAATTGATGCAAAATTTGTAAGCAAAAGACCGAAAAGTTTGAGACAAGCCATGGTGCATTCTTATAGGCAAAATAAGGTTAGAAAATATGTTTTATATGTTGTTGTAGCTATTGTGGCCTATGATACTTGGAGGGAGGGGGGAGAGAGAGAGGAATTACAAGGTTTTTAAAATGTGCAATTGGCTTGCAAATCTTATACTAAGGATTAAGGTTTAAATTGTCATGAAAATGCGAGATTAATGCCTTCCAAAAAAAGATTAGAGAGAAATATGAAGATTTTTTTAAGCAGATGTAAGATTGTTTAGGATCCTCCCTATCATTGGTTTGCATATATACAAGCCTTATTCCATAAGGTGAGATCGGTTTCATGGTTTGTACAATTATGCTATTGTACTCTATCAACAACCAAGCCTTTTAGTAAATTGCTAACAAAGAAATTTCTTTCAACAACTTCCCTAAATGTTATCTTTGATCTTTTTCTACTCTTCTTCAAAAGGCTTAAGACTATTAGTTTCATTCTATTGATGCCTCTCATGGTGCGTGCATCCTTGTGAACGTGTGTTTGCTTAGGTTTTGCAAAGAAAAACTAAAACCTTTGTTAGATGGTGGCTTAAATATTTTGACTATTGGGAAAAAGGCTTTTAAAACCAATTCAAAAAGCTTTTCTAAATTAATTCTAGAACTAATTTAGATAAAGATGGTTTAGAAAGTCCAACATTTTCTAAGCCGATTGTACAATAAGTTCAGAAAATGCCCCATGAAATAAAAAAATAAAAAGGACTTTCTAAACTAGTTATATGGCACAATCTGTTAGAAAGTCCCTATATTCTAAACCGGTTAATGTCACAACCTATTTAGAAAGTGGGCTTTAAAAAAAGTTTTGTTTTAATGTTCCTTAACCCCCTGTTTTATAGGGCATTAACATGTTCTCATCTACAATGAAAAACATATATAAATAGTCAACCTAGTCCATTTTTTTCAAAGAAAAAAAATATCATTAAACAACAATCCTTCCAACAATTTAATATCCAAATCAAGCCTAAACTATCACTACTAGAAAAAACCATATTAGTGACGGCCAAATCCGTCACTAATAGCCAAAATCCGTCACTAATACAGTGATTAGTGACGGACATATCGGTTACTAAGGTGGTCGCTAATATAGCGTCACTAATTTTTAAGTGACGGATAGTCATCCGTCATTAATTAGTGACAGATTAATCGGTCACTAAATTAATCATATCCGTCACTAATATTTCTTAATAGTGACGGGCATATCCATCACTAAAATAAAATGTCCGTCACAAATATGTATTTATAGTGACCAAACTGGACGTCACTAAAGTTGATATATCCATCACTAATCAGTAACCAACATAGTCCGTCACTGATTAGTGACACATATAGTTCGTCACTAATTAGTGATTACAATGTTCGTCACTAATCAGTGAAGACACAGGTTGTCACTAATTTGTCACTGATTCAGTATTTTCCTATATATATACGTGCACATTATTTTCTCATTCATTATTAACAAAATTACCTATTAAAATAAAAATATTAGCAACAATAAAATATAAAAAAAGCTTTTAATATTAGATTGATATTAATATTGAAAGTCTCTCAAAACAGTCACAAGTTAAAGTAGAGACTAATCAAAAAAAGTGTCTTACAAGTACAAAATAAAGCATTTAGTTGAATAAGAACAAAGATCAATTATCTTTGTTTGCAGCTGAGGTGGATCCTATAGATGGATCAACATTTTATGGAGTCTCCAAACAAGGATGAGACAATCCATGAGTAGCTATTAGTTGCTGTACAACCACTTGCAATTCATGCAATTCCTTTTCAAGTGCTTCCCTTTTCTTTACCTCTTCTTGTATTTTAAGTTCCATTTGTTGTATGTAGTCCTGACTAGGGGGAGGTGCATGGCTTGAAGCTTGTGAAGATGCAACATAAATGTTAGTAGCCTCTGATCCAAGACCATATATTCTTCCTTTTTTGGGACCACCAACAACTTTTGTCCAAATTGACATCTCTTGCTCATTGCTCAAATTCTCCAAGGCATGGCTGTCAATAGCTCCAACATCTGACATATCATCTAGAGACTCTTTCATCTCACTTTGAAACTTATCCTAAAATAAAATACTCTTAATGATATATTAACAAAATTCAGACATTTATTAACAAAGCACATAAAAAAATCTTGAAAATAAACTTGAGCTCATAGAAAGGAATTACATTTCTAGATCAGACCAAACAAGACCACAAATCCTCCGTTAAACTAAGTAACACAAATTGAAGCAATATATATTTATGGAGTTGGTTAGTTGAATTTAGAGTTGACATGTTTGAAATTTTCTAATACAATACTCTTACCCATATTGCTTTTGATTTCTTGTCAACAAAGGCTTCAGAATTTGATTTCTTGTGAGTCATCAAGAACACTTGAGATGGACGAGCTTCACCCCCTGTCTCTTCCTCCTACATACATGCAAATATGTCAAACAAGTAGGTTTAATTGTAAAATTTGTAAGGAACTTAGTAGAATTAATACATATTTTCTCTTATGCTCTGAAGATGTTATTGATCCTCCAGAGTGGCATGATGGGCCAAGTCCATCCTTACTGCTCAACCTATTCTTTGAATTAGTCTCAGATTTCTTTAGATACTTGGGATCTGTCCAAATTTGCTGAAGTTCCTTTCAGTTATCTTCACTCATCCAAGTAGGTGATATTCCCTTTTCCTTGAATGTCTTCCTTGCATTATAAAGGACAGTTTTCAAGCAACCTCGACCAATAGACTTCTCATAAAGTCCATGTATCTCATTATCAAACCTGTCCTCCCAAATATATACTTTCTAAGATACAAAGACAAAATTGAACAAATTAGGATAAACTTGAATAACCAAGATTTTCAACTAAATAGTAATTTGCATGACTTTGAAAAGAACTTAAATAATAATAATAATAATGTTTACCTTGAACTCTCCAAACCAACGTTGCTTAACCTCAAATGGTGTTTTATCCCAAGTAATCCATGGTCCTCCAAAAAACTTCTTTATTATACATGACAATATACGCACAGCATTATGAGGATGATACCTATGAAATGAACAAAATTTAGATTTAATATCAAAATAATAAAGAAACAGATACTAGAAAAACTTATCAATTTTATTTATACGATGTATTATTTGGTTCTAAGTATATGCGCCCATCTGCAGACTTTCGATATGAGACTTTATTTTTTTGTCTATTTGACTTGATTTGTTGAGTCTCATTGGAAGTGGATATATCATTTTCAATATGTGTCTCATTTTCAGTATTAGCCTCTTGTTGAATTGCATGATCAGTTGGTGGTTCCTCAATGGATGCTTCCTCCATAGGTGCATGTTGTACAATGGGTTCTTGCTTTGTGGATGCATTCTCTATAGGTGCTTGCTCTATGTCAGTACCACCTCTAACATTTTGCTGATGAATGCTTACACTTCTTGATACTCCAAATGATCTATGTTTTGCTTTACCCCTTGGCATCCCTGTAACATTTATAGATAGAAAAATTTCAAAATGAAGAAAAATAATACTAATAAGCAAGTTAAAATTATAATAACAATAATTCAATAAAAATGTCATAATGATCAAATGCAATAAAATAATGCTAACATTTACAAACCTAAGCTTCATCTTCCTTTTCAGTATTTGATTCATCACTTTCAATACTATCACTCTCACTAAGTTCATCTTCCTCTTCAATTTGAAATTCCTCATTTTCAAGCTCATCTTCCTCATCTAACTTTTCTAGTTCATCAACATCATTTGTTTCATACTGTAATCTCATCTCATTTTCTTGTATTTCAAGTTCTTCAGCTACCCCTTCACAAAGATTATTAATTGCATCCATGCTTGTGTCATATGGCAATCCCATATCATCTTCTTGGAAGGCTACTTCTGGTGCATTTATCATACTCCTTGCTTTTATTTTACAAACAGCCCACCAATCAGCCCTCTCCCTCTTCTTACTAGCATATTCTCCAAAATAAACTTGTTGAGCTTGTTGAGCAAGTGCAAATGGTTCATACTTTGAAAATCGTTTTCTCTTATTGATCTCAACTAGGCCATAACGACTATGAACCTTGCACCCCCTATTTAATTGGGGATCAAACTAATCACACTTAAACAATACCGCTCTAGTTTTCTTAGAGGTTGGATTAAAATATTGCAATTCTATCACTTCTTCCAACAAACCATAATAGTCATATTCAAACTCATTATAATTTGTTCCCTTAATGCACAATCCACAGTTCATGGTAGATTTTGATGAGTTGTAAGCACGTGTGTGAAACCGATATCCATTGACAAAATATTGAGACCATGTATGTACTTCTCTAGATGGCCCAAAAGCTAGATCCTTTATACGAACATCATCTACATTGTTATTTGGGTCAAAAACCTAAGCATAATAAAACTTGTCAATAAGCATATCACACAAACTAAAAAGGCATGTATTAAAATATATATGTTCATGATACTTACATATTCTTTCAACCACTTTGCAAATTCACTATCTATCTTAGTCTCTACATCCTCATTGGTTGCATTAGGTATTCTTTTCCTAAGTTGTTCTTCAAATATTCTACAAGATGGCAATGATTACCAACATTAGTAAAGCAAATTGTCATTTAAAAAATGCATAAATATCTTAAAGTGATTGAATTTACCTAAGAAATGGTTGGATTTCCTCACAATTAAGCAGAACATATATAGAAGCTACATTAAATTCATCATTTGTCAAAATCATGTTTTTCCTTTTCCTGCTGTGCGACCAGGATGTCTGAATATAGAAAGGCATCCATCTGGGCAGTCAACCTCACTATGATCATCATTTCGATCAATTTTGTTTAGTTTTGTTTGAACATGAGGTTCAAAGTAATGAGCACAGAATGTAGATGTTTCTTCTACAAGGTATGCTTCAGAAATTGACCCTTCTACGTGAGCTTTATTTTTAACTTTTTTCTTCAAATGATGCAAAAACCTACACAATAATTTTTCTATTAAGTATTCATTTATATAATAAGTAAATTTAATCACAAAATATATTTTATAATTTACCTTTCAAATGGATACATCCATCGATACTGAACGGGTCGACCAACTCTTGCTTCATAAGGTAAGTGAATAGGCAAATGTTTCATGGAGTCAAAGAAGGCTGGAGGAAAGAACTTTTCTAACTTGCAAATAGTTACAACAATATTTTCTTCAAGCTTTTGCATTTGCTCCACTGTTATAATTGTTGAGCATATGTCTTTAAAGAATAGACTTATTTCTGTTAAGGCATTCCAAATAGCCTCAGGTAATAAATCTTTAAAGGCAATTGGGAGCAATCTTTGTAAAAATACATAACAATCATGACTTTTCATCCCTAACAATTTACAATTTTCCATGTCAACACATTTAGACAAATTTGAAGCATGTCCATCAGGAAGTCTTAAATTTTTAATCCATTCACATACCAACTTCCTTTGTTGCTTTGTCAAAGTGTATGTTGCTTTTGGCTTCATTGTCTTTCCAACACTCTTAAACAATGCCAATTCTGGTCGGTTACAATAAGTAGACAAGTCCTCTCTAGCCTTTTCATTGTCCTTCGTCTTACCTTTAACATCCATAACAGTATTGAATATATTATCAAATACATTCTTCTCAATATGCATAACATCAAGATTATGGCGAATCAAGTTGGTATTCCAATAAGGCAAATCCTAAAATATAGAACGTTTAGTCCAATTATGTTGACTGCCAAACCCAGGCAACTTGTAAGTTCCATTTTTCTCCATCATTCTTGGCAAGCAACAAACTTTTTCCCATAAGTCATCACTAGAAAATCTTTGAGGGATAGGAGATTTCTCATCACACCCTTTATAAAATGACTTTTTATCTCGACAAAAGGATGTTGTAGTGGCAAAAATTGACGATGACAATCAAAAAATGTCACCTTTTTTCCTTTTTCCAAGAAGAATGATTTACTGTACTCCATACAAATTGGGCATGACAAAATTCCATGCGTACTCCATCCCGATAACATGCCATAAGCAGGGAAGTCATTAATAGTCCATAATAGTGAAGCTCTCATATAAAAATTTTGCTTCTTATATGAGTCATAGGTTAAAGCACCAACCTCCCACAATTCTTTCAACTCATCAATTAAAGGTTGCAAGTACACATCAATTTTTTGCCCAGGGCTCTTTGGGCCAGGAATTATAAGAGTAAGAAACATATATGGGGTTTTCATGCACATCCCAGGGGGCAAATTATATGGTGTAACAATTACAGGCCAACATGAATATGGATGTGCAGATTGCCCAAATGGAGTAAACCCATCTGATGATAAGCCTAACCTAACATTTCGAGGTTCTAAAGCAAAAGAGGGATAACATTGATCAAAATGTTTCCATGCCTCGCCATCACAAGGATGACACATGACCCCTGGCTCTCGCCTTGTTTTATGATGCCATACCATGTGCTCTGCTGTTTTAGAAGACATATAAAGCCTTTGTAATCTTGGAGTCAATGGGAAATAACGCAGCACCTTGTACGGTATGTCTTTATTACTTCCATTATCTCTTTTTCTAGATTTAAAGCGATCATGGCCACACACCAAACATTCCCTCCTTTCCTTGTTCTCCTTATAGTACAGCATACAACCATTTCGACACACATCTATTTTCTCATACTTCAAACCAAGTTGTCCTACCATTTGTTTAGTCTTGTAATAGTCTTTAGGCAATTTTTCATCATTTGGCAACAATTCTTTTACCCATTGTAAAATACAATTATAGCAATTCTCACTCAAGTTAAACTCAGATTTGATATTTAACAATCTAGATATTGCTGATAATGGAGTGTGCCTACTACACCCTTCATACAGTGGCTCTTTAGCAGTTTCCAACATCTCATAAAATTTTTGAGCATTATGGCTTGGAGGATCATCTAACTCTATATTAGTATTAGGATTGACACTAGGACCAACAGCATCTAAAATCATGGTATAATATGGGTTTTCTAAGATAACATCATCCCTTGTTTCATTAGCACCTTCAACTCTTTCTTCAATATCTCTAGCAACCTCATAATCAACATCATCATAATGTAAAGGTTCCCCGTGATAACTCCATGGGTCATAATTAGGGACAAAACCATGACGATAAAGGTGAACCTTGACGATTTCATACTCTAAAAATTTCTTATTGTCACATTTTGAACACGGACACCTTATTTGGCCATTTGAGACTAGATTTGGTTGAGAAAGAACAAATGCCACAAATTGTTCTACACCATCTATAAACTTTTTGTTGAGTCCTTTTCCACTTTCGTCACGCCGACTATACATCCACATTCGATCATCCCTCATAGTCTTCTACATGATACCATGTAATTATTTAAGACAAAATAACTAATTAACATAACTAATTCAAGAAATAAGGTTTACTAAGTCTAAAACCAGTAAAGAGTTTAATATATTAAAAAAATAACACTCCTGGGATGACAATCAAATGGCCTAGCATCCAAAAACCATTAAATTGTAATCTACCAAGGAGCTCTAAAAATAATGGAAATTTTGCACATCAAATAGCACACATGTAGAACTATGAATGTGAAATTTCATGGCAAAAATGTATGATCAAACGACCTTTTTTAAAACATTGAAAAACTGCTTGCATGTATAATTTGGTAACTTAATTAATTAGGCTTACTTGATAATAATGAAGTTATGCAAAGCTGCGAGATTTGTACCAATATACTTCAAAGGACTGCATAAAAGAAAAGAACAAAGAAAGAAAGAAATCAAGTTAAAAGCATATGGTGAATATAATTAATCAAAAAAGAAAAAGCTATGATTAAGTGGACATGAATATAATATAATTAGAAGCATATAATTAATTTTTAGCTGCAGCAAGGAGGACAAAAAGCTTGACAATTAATTGTTCATTTTTAGTATTACATAAATTTAAAGACAAGAATACTATAAGCCAAAACACACTTTTTAGTTTTAACCCCATCTCACTTGATTGTTTCTTCTCCATCCCTGATGGTCACTAGCTAGAGCTAAGCATTACAATCAATGGGAATGAAAAAGTAAGAAAATGAGAAAGGTAAAAAACAGAGAAATAGAAGCATGATAAAGATATTACCTCAGCTTTGAAAGAAGAAAAAAGAGTTGTTAGCCTTTCAATTGCAGATTCAATGCATAACCTTCACCTTGGAATACATATAAATTAATATACAAATATTAAAAATAAAATTTCCATTGTTGAACTGACCCTGCGATTGACTACCAGAGCATATAATTAAATTTCAATAAATCCCACACCACAAAACAAAAGACTCCAAAACTAAGCACCATAAAAATATTATTAAACAAAACAAGTTGATGTGGTTTCATTCCAAAGTAAGCTAAGAAAAGTCAAAATCCCTTTTTCCTTGGTGGCTTTATTATATTGGTCCATTCAAGTTATTGAATAAATTTGGGTCTCCCAAAGTAAAGCTAAAACTTTTTAGGAAAAGGGAATAAAGTTCATTGTAGTGTTTGGCAACCTATTAAATAATCTCATTATCCCTTCCCATAGTCTCGAAAGAGGAGTCCTAACACTAATAGAATCTATTCTTCAGGCATATTCAACAACTGAGAATACGAAAATCATAATGAGAGCAAGAATACAGACAAAAGCAAAGTGGCAGGGGAAAAGGCTGTGAATTTTTTTTTCAAACCTAGACTATCTAAGAAAGCCCTTTTTCAAACCTACTCTCATGTTGAATCAAGAGAAATGTTTATTGTGCTCAAAGGGGGTCAAAGGCAAAGCGTACCTGAGTGAGGCGAGAAAGAGAAATTGTTGTGCGCCTGATTTCTTCGAGCATCAGTAGCAGAGCACTGGAGATGAACGGCGGGAGCAGAGCGCGAGTTTAGTGATAATAGAATTGCAAAGGAGGGAAGGGTTTTAGTTTTAGGGTCTGATGGTGACTCTGAAATTATATTAATTTTCATGTTCAATTTTTTATTATATTATATTAGTAAAATTAACCTAATATTTTACCCATCTAAATGCATCTAAAAAGTAATCATAATTGGTATAAAATATTTATAACATTTAAAAGAAAATTTTTATCAATTATTAATAAATCATTTTAACATAAATATATTTTTATTTCCTATTTTTAACATTAATATCTTTATTAATAATATATTTTTATTTTAACAATACAATTAAATTAATTATCTATTTTATATTAACATAAATAATTAATTGTTATTATACTTTCACACTTAGTGACGGATATCCATAGGTCACTATTTATTAGTCACTAATTTTGTGATTGTTTTGTAAAATTGTGACAACTTTGAGCATCTGTCACAATTCAGTGACCGATAATTAGTGACCAAATTATATTCGTCACAAATTATAAACTTTTAAAAGAAATGTGACTGATATTATCATCCATCACTAATCTGTCACTAATCACTATAATTAGTGACGGATATAAAGTTGTCACTAATTATCCGTCACTAATATGATTTTTTCTAGTAGTGTATGTACAGTTAAAATGGAATTAAATAAACTAACAATTTAACAAAAAACCATAGCTAATTAACTCAATTCAAGAACTATGGAAATAACTAAATAAACTAACATTCATGCTAAGAATTCATGCCATCCATACTAAAACCTTGCCAGACATTCCTTAGCTCATTGCTAAAATTAAGAAACAATTGATCGATTTTCTTTCATTGCTCGTAGTTTGATGGATGTCTCAGCTTTTCATAAGAAATTTTTTTAGTTGCATGCTATCTCAATCTTTTGCATCCCTTTCATTACCAAACAAGTGCTCGAGTCTTGGAAGATACCACACTACAACACTTTTATAGGAAATTTATTCTCCTTCTACCTTGGTGTCTCACCTACTGGACAAAGATTTTAATATGTTAATAATATTAATAACAAAAGTTTTGTTATAAAATAAATAAGATATATAAGATTTGTTTTGATTTTGTTATGAACAAGCATTTAAAGTATATGAGACTGAATATATAAGTCCTAAAATGGAGAATTTATGACAGTTGAGTTTTCAACAAAATGTTTTGAAAAATAAATTGCAAATATTGATTCAAATAATAACAAATAAAAATTTCAATTGTAAATTGAGAATTATATTTAAAATTAAAATATTTTATTTGTAATTAAAACTCTTGAATTTGTAACTATTTGAATCTAATATTTACGACTAATTATACAAAAAAATTTGTTGGGACCTAACTATCATAATAAATTCATTGTTTTTGGGCTTTAATGTCATTCTTCCTTTAATCAATACTTTTTTATTAAATTCTTAAAGAATTAAAATAGATACAAGTTAGGGAAATTACATTTTAGTCCCACATAAAGGAATTTACTATCAAGAAGTTTCATGAAATTCACAAAATACTCCCAAATCTCACATCCTACACATTTACAACTTGAGTAAGGGCATTTACAGCTGGGCAATAGCCATTTAAAACTTACCATTACAAGTTGTGATTTTTTTTTATAAGTCGTAAATAGCCGTTGTCTAACTATACATGCCCTTGCCCAAGTTATAAATGCCCACCCTATCATTCTTCATTCTTCCCCCTTCTCTCTCCTTTAAAGTCAAATATCCATGACTCGTAGGGGTAGGAACCTTAACTCTAGAAAAAAAAAGACTAGAAGGAATGTAGAATAATGAGAAGCTCTACAGTCTGGAGTGAGATAAAGATTAAAAAAAACAATAAAATCCACCACATAAATCAAGATAGAATTTTGAGAAGATGCAGATCTGGGCAGAGGAGAACAAAGCCAAAGATGCAGCCCTCAAATGCTAACGTTAAGCACGTAGACGCAATGGAGGAGGAGAAGAAAAATGGGAATGGCTGATAGAGTCAGTTTAGTAGTGATAAGTCGATGCCACAGTGGAGAGTAGGCCGGAGCGGCGGCTAAAGCTTGGATGTAAACGAAGTGTAGCAGCTGCTGGAAAACTGAAGCTTGAAGATGAGAGGAGGATAAGGAGATCGGCACCCAGAGGAAGAAAATGATGGGGCAGCGAGAAAAATGAAAGAGAATATTAGAGTGATTAGGGTAGAATTCTTGTGTCTATTTTTTTTGGTAACAAGTATTTAATAATATATTAATTATATATATATTAAAAAAAGTTGACTACCTGGACCAAGCCAAACCAAATAGTCTTAAACAACATTCTTGAACCCAGTCTGCCCTGATGGTTCAGTCTAACCTGCTTGGTCCAGTCTTTTTCTTGAGCTGGTTTTTCCAGACCAGGTCTTGCCAGGGCAGACTGGGTTTTAACTTTTTTTGCACAGCCCTAGTTTGTATAGGTTTCAAAAATAGAAGAGTGGTATACATAATTAAGACAAAATAGAGAGATGGTCAGAGTATTTGTAACAGTGACCAATAGAAAAGGATTGAGATTCTAGAATAATTTAAATATTATTATTGATTATTTTTTATCAAAAATTTTATTTCAACCTATTTAATTCTTATGTTTTTAGTAGATCATTTATTTTTTTAAATTTTTCTCAATTTTTTCTAAAATCATTTGTATAGTTTTAAATAATTTTGATATTTATATATTCAATTTGTTGTTTAATATTTTTTAGCAAATCAAGTTAGTATACATGATACAAGTCTCATTATTATTTAACATGTGGTTGGGTTTCGAATCTCTAACTCTTGTACATGTAAAAAACTTAGTTCATATGATTCTATCACATATTGAATACATGGGGCAAATCAAATTTTTCTATCCATGTAATATATATAATTTCTGTCTCACAAAAAAAAAAAAAACTCTGTTGAGGAAGCGGTTCATTTGTAGTGGCAAGTAAGATAGTTTTGCATTCAGGCTTTCCTTTTTCTCCTCTTTTGCTCTTAGATGATGTTTATATTTAGCACCTGAAATTGTCTCAAACATTATTGCTTTTAATAAGAGTATATCTGCAAGCAATAAAAAAAAATATTACCTTTAGTTTTATTTATAAAACAAAGATAGATGAATTTTTTTTTGTTCCATTAATAAGTCATGTCATTAACTTTGGTATCATAATTTTTTTATTTTCTATTAAATGTTTAGTGATAAAAAATATATTATTAAATTAGGCATATTTAATATAGGTATAGTTGAAAGGTTATTAAATTTTTAATAAACTATCATGGTACAATCATGCATTTTCACAGGCATTTTATACCTAACTTTTAAGCTCAAACATTTTACATTTTACGTCATTCTTCACTTTTAAGATAGCACTTATGCCATGCATGTATCATGTACTACTACAAAGTACATTTTTTATATCGATTAAAAATGACTTTTTCAATAAACTATCAT